TCTAAATGTGAGACATGGGAACAGGGAAGTGAGAATTGTGATGTGTATGGGGGTAGAAAGGAGTCCAGATGTAAGACATGGGAACAGGGAAGTGAGAATTGTGATGTGTATGGGAGTAGAAAGGAGTCCAGATGTTAGACATGGGAACAGGGAAGTGAGATTTGTGATGTGTACAGGGGGTAGAAAGGAGTCTAAATGTAAGACATGGGAACAGGGAAGTAAGAATTGTGATGTGTATGGGGGTAGAAAGAACTCTAAATGTGAGACATGGGAACAGGGAAGTGAGAATTGGGACGTGTATGGGGGTAGAAAGGAGTCCAAATGTTAGACATGGGAACAGGGAACTGGGAATTGTGACATGTATGGGGTAGAAAGGAGTCTAAATGTGAGACATGGGGAAAGGAAAGTGAAAACAGAAATTAGAAGGATGAAGACATGCAAAGTAAGTGAGAAAGGGGCAGACAAGGGAATAGAGAAAGGAAGAGGAGAGGAAACACCTCCCCCAAGGCCCCTCACACACCCTTCTCTGCAAGGAGGGACTGGTGGCTGGGCAGTCAACTGGGCATGTAGGTGGAGAAGAAGACAAGCCATGCACCATCTAGATTCCAGCACCAGTGCCATCCTGGGTGGTTACTCAGGTTAGGGACCTTTGGGGACAGAGACTGAAGCTGGTGACCCTTTGATAGAATACAGAATTCACATGCTGTGGACACACACTAAAAACAAGGAACCCAGGAACAGTGTCAGAGGAGCTGATCAGAGAGCATGCAGGGGTTCCTTTGCAGGTCTCAGGGGATAGAGAAAATCCTACTCCAAAAATGCCAGGGAAGTGAGGAGGTCTCCTCTGATTGTTCCTGCCATGGTCTGCCATATCCCTCCTCCTCCTGGAACACCCTAGGGCTCACTTAAACCCAAATCTGCCCTGTGGGCTTCCTACCCCTCCCTCCTTTCTGCCATCCTGGCCAACTCCTACCTCTAGCTGTGTGATCCCAAGTTTCCATCCTAAGCCATGGCCTCTGGATTGTTCTTCCCCAGGTACCCACTTATCTCTGGTAGTATAGGTTATTATTTTCGTTCCTCTTTTCGTTGATTTGTTTGTTTGTTTGTTTTTATAGGGCCTTACTGTATACTGTAGGATGGCCTTAAATTCTGATGGAGTCCACACTACTTGCCTCCTATTCTTTTCTCCTTCTGATTTTTCTTTTTTAATGTCTTTTTATGGTGATTATTTATTGACTTTAGTAATTAATAAAAATAAAATTTCTATTTTTAATCAAAAAACAAACAATTACTGTGAAGTCGCAGGGCGATTGGTAATGAAAAGTCCCCAGACTATCTTAATACAAAATATACAGCTTTAATAAACAGAAGTAGACTTACACCAGCTTACACCAGAATTCAAACGATCCATCCAGGTGCAGGAGCCAGGCGAGAGAGAGCTAGCGGGAGTGCACTTGTAGGTTTATAGGCAAGCTTTAGCCTAAGGGCGACACGCCCCACAAACAGAAAGTGATTGGCTGAACTCCCCTATCATCTCCCCCTTTTTTTCTAAAATAAGATAGAACCAAACCAAATACAACTATATACAATAGAAACAAATAATAAATATAAAGTTACAAACAACAAACAATGTTAAGCAAGAAACATATAACAAAAGTTCTGCTAAACATTCTATCTCAGGGAGTCTAAATAATATAGATGGTAACTACAACTATCTAATCTTCAACTCCATCAAAGATCTGAGAAGGAAAATAATTTTACTCAAGCAGCCGGGAAATACAAGCGGGAAACTTTCGAAATGTGCAACGAATGGAAGAGACAACTGAATACCTGGACAATCACCCAAAGTCTCGTATGCAATGTTGAGTCAACCAACTTTGGCTAAGGCCTGATGTAACTGACATGCCATTTTTCAAAGGCAAGAAACCTTTTAGGACTCTCTCACCCAGTCTTGGCAAGATAAGACAATCCTGTTTTTATTCATTTACGGATATTTTGTAATACTGTTAGTGGTTGAGGTATGGGCTTTTTTTTTTTTTTTTTTTTTTTTT